GTGGTTAGTGGAGTGTGTGTGGTTAACCGGCACACTAACTTGGACTTAAAAAAGAAGGTAAAGGGTGACTTGATATTTATCATAGTATCGATGGTGCGTGTGTGGTTAACCGACACATCGATTGAGGGGTAATTTATTAAGGGTACCAAGTAGTTTTCATGGTTACTTCACACCTCGTTTTGTGATCCTCGGCATCCCAGTCACAAAACTTGGAGGGCACACTGGATATTGAAACATGCCTTTGAAAAGTTCATTGAATCTCAAAAGAATCTAGGAATTTCTAAGTACCAAAACAAAAAAAAAACTTAATATTTACTATTTCATTTTTTGGTGGAAATTAGTGAATCGTCATTCACCTACCTTCCAAATATGTTATTACTTAGACTACGACATACCTCTTCTAAGTTATAATATATTGTGATTAGATCCTAGCCTTAATACTACATTTAGGTGTTTTATTAAGGACTATCTCTATATCTAAACTAAAACCTTCTTCATTTTCAGATGTCTACAAACACTACTGCTTCTGCCTCTAATCCCAATGGCTCCTTTACTCTTATGAACTTATGTGGGAAAGTCACTTTTGATGGATCCAACTTTAATGAATGGATCAGAAACATCAGAATGATTACTCGCTATGAGGACAAGGAATATATCCTCGATAAGGAGCTTAAGGAGATTGATGAGATAGTTGCTACTCCTCAAGAGATCGCTGAGTTTAGGGCACATGAAAGGGATGCCACCAAAGTGGCATGCATCATGATGGCCACTATGACCGCGGATTTCCAAACATCCTATGAAGATTTCTACCCCTATGAGATGCACCAAGACTTGATGGAAAGATACCATCAAAGTGCTCGTCAAGAGAGGTATGAAATCATCTCCTCCATGATAACAACTCGCATGAAGGATGGTGAACCCATCACGGGACACATGCAGAAAATGCAAAGATTTGTGGACCGTTTGCTGAAGCTAAATGTGAACTTCCCTGAGGAGCTTGCAATAGATATCATTTTGCACTCCTTACCTTCATATTATGATCAACTCCGCATGACATACCACATGAACAAGGAAGAGGTCACACTCAACAAACTTCAAGGACTCTTAAAGACCGCGTAAAGTGGTCTTAAGGGTAAGGCGGTTGTTACTACTCCTACTTCTACAAACTCCGCCCCTGTCTTGGCAATCGGGAAAGGACGAGGGAAGAAGAGAAAGAGTTCTTCAAAGGGTACAAAGGTTAGGACCCTTGATGGCTCTTCTTCAAGTGGAACCAAGAAAGGTTTCATCACTCCTTCTTCTGACCCAAAAGAGGCAGAATGCTTCTATTGCCATGAAAAGGCACACTGGAAGCGAAACCGCCCAAAGTACCAGCAAGATGTAAAGGATGGGAAAGTTAAACCCTACCATGCAGGTATTTACACTATCATTTCTAATAACTCACCCCATTCTAAATCTTGGGTCCTTGATACCAGTTGTGGTATTCATATTTGTTGTGACTTGCAGGGACTAAGAAGAAGTGAGAATGTGGAGCAAGGAAGAATAAACTTAATCATGGGGAATAGGAAAGTTACACCTGTCACCAAGATTGGAGTTTATACTTTGTCGCTAAGTAGTGGGTTTAGTTTATATTTGAATAAATGTTGTTATTCGCCATAAACGGCAAGAAATATTATTTCCTTTCATGCATTGTATAAACATGGTTTTACCTTTTCATTTAATAATGAAGTTGGTTCTATTGATGCTTTCTTTAATAATGTTCTTTATTTTAAAGCATTACCTTGTGATGGCGTGTATGAAACAGTATCTGTGGTTGATAACTTAGGAAATAATGTAATGTGTATTGATTATATTAATAATAATAACTTGGATAAAGCATCGTTATGGCATTGTCGACTTGGACATATAAGCAAGAAGCGCATAGGCCAACTCCAAAGAGATGGAGTCTTGGAGTCATTTGACCTAAAGTCAGATGATAGTTGCGAATCATGCTTACTTGGAAAAATGGCAAAGTCACCCTTCACAGGTTCTTGTGAGAGAGGTGAAGGTTTGTTGGACCTTGTACACACGGATGTGTGTGGACCATTCAAACATGCCACAAGGGATGCTAATCGTTATTATTTGACTTTTACCGATGATTACAGTAGATATCGATATGTCTACTTAATCAAGCGTAAGTCAGAGACTTTCGAAAGGTTTAAGGAATTTAAATAGGAAGTCGAGAATCAATTGGGCAGGAACATTAAGATGCTTCGATCCGATCGTGGTGGTGAGTATCTTAGTTCAGAGTTCCTCGACTATCTAAGGGAATGTGGGATTGTCTCATAATTGACGCCTCCCAGGACACCTCAGTTGAATGGTGTGGCTGAGAGGCGTAATCGAACCTTGTTAGACATGGTTCGTTCCATGATGAGTCGAGCTTCGCTACCAATCTCATTCTGGGGGTATGCCTTAGAGATTGCCGCCCATATCCTTAATCTTGTCCCTACAAAGAAAGTTGCCAAAACTCCTCACGTGATGTGGACTGGTAAAGTACCCAAACTAGACCACATCATGATTTGGGGTTGCGAAGCTTTTGTGAGGAGCGAGATGATAAGCTCGAACCTCAAAGCGAGAGGTGTATTTTCATCAGCTACCCACAAAGCTCCTTTGGTTACCTCTTTTACAGACCTAGTGATAATGTGGTCTTTGTAGCAAGAAGAGGAGTCTTTCGAGAGAGAGAATTTATAAGCCAAGGAGACAGTGGGAGGCAAATTGACCTTGAAGAACTTCAAGAGTCAAGTGGTGAAGGAACTTCAAACCCTAGCCCTCAACTTGAGGAGGAAACTCCTGTTGAGCCAAATGACGATTTCGTACCTCTGAGACGTTCCACGAGAGTTAGGAATGCACCTGAGCACTACTACGGTTTTCATATTACTGCGGAAGGTGAGAAACTTATTAGTGATGAGACACTAGTTGCTATGGATGAACCTAACAGTTACGTGGAAGCCATGGCAGGCCCCGAGTCTGCGAAATGGAAAGAGGCTATGGATAGCGAGATACAATCCATGTATGACAATCAAGTTTGGAACTTGGTTGAGAATGTACCAGGTCGTAAGACTATAGGGTGCAAATTGGTCTTCAAGAAGAGGACCGACATGGATGGTAAAGTACACACTTATAAGGCTAGACTGGTTGCAAAGGGCTTCTCTCAAATTCCTAGAGTGGACTATGATGAGACCTTTTCTCCAGTAGCCAAGATTAAGTCTATCACTACAAGAAAAATAGCCTTTTACGATGCGCAAACCACGACACTCATTGATTTATGTTACGCAATGGAGAGTGACGTTAAAAAAGCGTCATCTATTCAAAAAAATTTAAGGATTTAGGTCACGTAGTATTGCGTGCCCTTAAATTAGCGTCATACGAGAAAAAATTAAAAACACAGAAGGTGCTGTATCTTAAATGAGCGTCTTCTATGAGTGTCGCTTTATAATTTTAATGAAAAGCGCGTTTAGTAGATAGGGGGAAAATGAAATCCCTAAAATTTTGAACACATCCTCCACTTTTGTTTCCTTCTTGCCCTAATTACGATCCTTTCTTCCCCCTCCATAGATTCGACTGCTGCCTTGCCTAGTTATCGACACTCCTTCCTTCGTTCGTCACTTGCCTTCATCGCTTGACAATATCTCAAGAAGTAAAACTCCAAAATCATACAAGTTGCTATCGGTTTCTCCATAGAGTTCCGCCGTTCCCAAATCGCATATTTTCGCGTTGAGTGACTATGATTGGGTTACAGTTATGCTTGAGCTGACGATTGGGTTACAATTATGCTTGAAAGTGTGAAGAACTTACATGCTCCATCTACTTATATCCTAGAGCCGACGATTTAGGACCTTACCGCTTCTCATCCCACACAGCGTCGGCGATTTAGGGCCTTACAAGCCCTAGCTCGGATTGAACTAAGAATTTAGCGAGAGAAATCAAGATTTTTGGTCATCATCATCACGTTTGCATTAGCATCCATAGGCTACAGATCTCAAATTCCTCTTCAGATCCTCGTAATTGACCTTTCCCCAGATCTCGATTTGATCAAACATACATATAATTACAGTCACCGGTCTACAACCCGGTTATATAGTTCATTTTTGCACTAAACATATCAGGATCTGATCGAGCTCTCTCGCGGTTTCAAAACCGACCTAATCATGAAGCCCTTTTCGTCTGGGATGTGTCTAAGGTGAGTTGCTTGTTTACAATTGATCTTATCTTTTAAAGCTTTTCCTTGTGATCAATTTTGAACTAGTTCTTCATTTCGACCAAATTTGTATTAACGTTATCTCAAGTTGTCTATATTGAGAGTTAGTTCGCGTTCCTAATAGTTGGGGCATTTGATTTGCGTACATTAAATGGAATTCATCCATGTATTTCCCAATTGGATGGGTCACTCAAATGAGTAAGACACTGTCACTAACTTATAAGATCCTAATCTGGGTTTGAAGATAATCCGTGAACTCTGTCATGAACCATCCCTCGCAAACCATATGTCTCTCTACTTAAGATTTTCCATCTTTTTGGTTTATCCTTCACCTGAAAAAGATTTGACTACATTTAATACCACATGCGTAATTTGTTGTTAATTAGTTGGGTCTGAAACTGTAAATGAAACATTATTGGTCTACTGCAGGGACATTATTAGGGAAATACGAGCCTGCAAAACTGCTGCAGAAGAGCATGTTGCTGTTAGAAAAGAATGTGCTTCTTCACTCTTATCTTTCCTATATCTTGTGTTCAAGCAACATGGTTGACTTGAGAATCTTTTTTTTCATCATCTGCAGAGATCTTAACCACACCAATCAGTACATTGTGGGACTAGCTCTTTGTGCTTTGGGTAATACATGTTCTGCAGAAATGGCTCGTGATCTTACACCTGAAGCTGAAAGATTGCAGCAATTTTGAGATCCAAATATTCAAAAGAAAGTAAGTTGATGTTAACATTTATTTCATTTCATGATCTCTCAAGGATGTTTAATCTAATTCTCACATTTCATATGAAGAATCATACTCACATAAGTTCTTACAATTTACAGGCAACATTGTGCTCAATAAGGATTGTAAAGAAGGTCCCTAACCTTGCAGAAAATCTTGTTAACTCTGTTGTTTCCTTACTTAAAGAAAAACATCATGGGGTTCTTTTAATAGCAATCCAGCTCTGTACAGATCTCTGTAACCTTAATGAAGAGGCTCTTGAAATTTTCAGGAAGGTAAATATACTTGATCTTGTTAAAGATCCTCTATTATTTGTTAGGATTGTCTTCCTTTAGTTCTTGTTCTTTTTCTTTATCCTTCTACTGTGTATTTGCGCTAAGAACTGTTTGACATATGATTCTATAAGTGAAAATTAGTGATGAGATATATTTTCTTTTTTCTTCCATTGGTATAGAAATGCACAGAGGTGTTGGTGAATGTTTTGAAGGATGTTGTCAACAACCCATATGCTCCTGAATATGATGTTTTAGGTATTGCAGACCCTTTTCTTCATATAAGACTGCTTCGCCTTTTGCGTGTTTTGGGCCATGGAGATGCTGATGCTAGTGATTCCATGAATCACATTCTTGCCTAGGTTAGCTTTTATTTTAATAAATCTCATTGTGAATTGTGATATATAATTCAAAATTATAAGAATTTAAGAAATTCCTTGTGTAGGTGGCAACAAAAACTGAGTCAAACAAGAATGCAGGGAATGCAATAATTTATGAATGTGTAGAAACCATTATGAGCATTGAAGATAGCAGTGGTTTACGTGTTCTTGCAATTCTCTCTAGTTGAATTCAACTTTTCTATTTGTCTACGTGAACTGCCTCGTAGCTTTTGACATGTGTGTGGTTCATTATGAGATGGAATGAAAAACTACATATTTTTGTTTTATATTATTTTATATTTTGTCAGTCTTAGGGCCTATTTTTCCTAATTTGTACAGGGCCCCCTAAATCACAGGGCCGGCCCCGTGTTCAATGGATAAGTAATTTCAGTTTCAGTTTTAGACCTATGGTCTACTGTTCATGTTTAGGAGAATTTACCGAGTAAAATATGTTCTACTTAGAACTATTACATGGTGTGTTTGCCTAACTTTTTGATATCGTTAAATAATAACTCTCCATTTCCAAATGGAGGAGATTTAATGGCAGACCTTGAGGAGGCTTTGGTCAAACATCGATCTAATCACATAACTGGTTCTGAAATGGCAGAAACAAGGAAAAAATGGATCGAGAGTCACATCCAAAATCGTTTGTCACAACTTGAAGGATGCCATAAGAAGCATATGTATTATACTTTAACATTTTATTTACTGGAAGGTGAAGTTGTTAGTAGATATCATTTAACTTTACTCATTTGTTTCTTTATCATGAATTTAGAATTACCTACAAGCATAGGTGAAGACCTTCAGTCAAAGTGTTTGCTTGAACTCTATGGACTTAAGGTAGACTGTAGTCTATAACATCTTGCTTTTCCATATTCTCTTTTGTATCTAAAGATTAACATTTAATGGGTTAAATGCAAGAAACCACTGTGTACTTTCATCTATTTGATAAAAGTTGATAAAAGAAGAAACGAGATGCTGAGGTAAATCTTGAATCTTGATGGATATTTTCTTTGACTAGTTGATAAAAGTTTATAAATTTTCTTTGTATGCTTTTGGAAAAAGAAGTTATTAGTTTAATACTTATTCTTCTTTTAACATCATTTGCTGCACATACTAACAAAATTAGAGGAGGAAGAAAAGAATAGAGTAGAAACGAGGAAGAGGAAATTCTTTGCAGAAATACTTAATGCAATAAGGGAACTCCAGTTGCAAGTTCAGGCCTCTCAAAAATGTAGGAAGCAAAGGAATGATGTTGTTCAGGTATGTAAATTATTTCCCTATATTTATATCTATGTATAATCTATAATGTATCTAGTTTTATACATAACTTGATTAGTTCTACTGCCATATGCTTCTATCATGTTGCTATTAAAGTGTACTGAGCTTATTTGGTTTTCTTTTAGATAAGCCTTGATGTTATCTTTTTTGTTGTTACATGCTTTGGTGCCACTATTGTTGAAAATTCTTGTGTCTGCCCCTCAAGTTATATTTGGATGCTATCTTATTTAGCATATATAGATGTAACCGTTGTCCTTTTAATATGTTAAGAACCAATTTTTATTCAGTTAAGTTATCTATAGCACCAACCAATATTGTTCCTCTGTTTTTTCTTGTTTCTGCTGTTCTAATCACTCCTTTCTTCTCCCCTAGTTCTTATGTTTTCCTTGGTGAACAAGGGACAGGTACAACTGCGAATATCACCTATTACATATTCAACAGAAGTACTGCTATTACAATTGAGAAACTTTTTACAGATGCTGAAAAGAGTCATAAAATCTTGAAACTCCTTATAAACTCATTATTGAAGAATAACTTTTATTAATCCTTGTAATTATACTTTTAACTTTTTTCTATCAGATGTGTATCCTCAGTTCAGTCCTTGATAAGTGCCTAACACTGCTTGGTTTTGAGTCGGCAGCACCTTGCGATACCTCTTGCAAACTCAGGTATGTAGCTTTATTATTCCGAATAGCTCTTGTTTTCTAGTATTAGAAGATCATATGTCTTGATTTCATGCATAACAATAGAGAGATATTGTAGCATCTTTAATAGAGCTATGTAGCATTATAATCCTTCAAATGTGATGGAAACATATGAGGTGCAGTGGATAAGCAAGGAAAACTCTTAATCCCAATGATGTCAATAATCTTCCAGAAACTAAAAATCTTCATTGTTTGTACGATGCATGATATATTTGCATCCCATGCTATATTATTTAGATGCTTTAACTTTCATTAATTGGTTTGAGTGTTGGTGATTAGTAATTAAACTCAATTTATTCCTCTTTTTATTAACAACTTTTATTTATTCATGATCTTCAGCTATCTTCTGCTTGTGGGCGGCTTGTAATTTCAAGTGATGGAGTCTGGGATGCTCTTTCCACTGAATCAGCTCTGGAATGCAGTCGTAGATTGGCTCCGGAATCAGCAGCAGCACAAATTGTCAAAGTACGGAAACAAAAAAATGTTAAATTTGTAATAAAATATTATGCAATGGATTCTATTTTTGTATGACATTAAATTTTATGAAATGGATTATATATTTTGTATATGATATTTTATTTTCTATTATGATGCATTAAATGTAAATTTAATTTGAAAATTAGTAAATCTATAAAAAAAATATATTTTTTAAACATTTAAAATTATGATACGCAAAAATGTGTGTCATCTTCATTTATGACATGTCATTAACACGCGCGTTGTAAGGTTACGACACGCGAATGCGTGTTGTCTTCCTTTATGACAGGGTCTTCCTTGATACGCATTGCGTGTCGTAAAGGTGCGTCGTAACTGCACGTCGTAAATGAGCATCGTAAATGCGCGTCGTCTCTCTTTATGACAGGGCCTTCCTTGACACGCATTTGTGTGTCGTCTGAGCCATTTACGACGCGCAATGAGCGTCGTAAAAGGCTGTTTTTCTAGTAGTGTATTCGGGTTTTGGTAGCCATAGCTGCATTTCATGACTATGAAATATGGCAAATGGCTGTAAAAACTGCTTTCCTTAATGGAAAGTTGGCTGAAGATGTTCACATGAGTTAGCCAGAGGGTTTTTTCACCAACGAGTACCCTAATAGAGTGTGTAAGCTTGAGAAATCCATTTATGGATTGAAGAAAGCACCTCGCAGATGGAATCTTTGCTTTGATGAAAAGGTCAGGGAATTTGGCTTTTCTAGGAGTGAAGATGAATCTTGTGTTTATGTCAAGGCTAGTGGGAGTATAGTTAGCATCTTGGTATTGTATGTGGATGATATACTACTCATTGGAAATGACATCCCAACTTTGCAGGAAGTAATGTCCTGGCTTGGGAAGTGTTTCGCTATGAAGGACCTTGGTGAAGCTGCCTATATCCTAGGGATAAGGATCTTGAGAGACCGGAGTAAAAGACTAATTGGACTTAGTCAAAGCACCTATGTGGACAAAGTGTTGAAAAGATTCAACATGCATAACTCCAAGAAAGGTGAGTTACCCATTCAGAGTAATGCCAGATTGAGTAAGACACAAAGCCCTAGTACTGAGGCTGAGATAGCAGAAATGAGTCGACTACCTTATGCTTCTGCTGTAGGATCGATCATTTATGCTATGACGTGTACTCGACCTGATGTAGCCTTTGCTTTGAGCATGGTTAGCAGGTATCAGGGGAACCCTGGCAAGGAACACTGGACTGCGGTAAAGAATATCCTCAAGTACCTGCGAAGGACTAAGGACTGGGTCCTTACCTTCGGTGGGAGTGATGACTTGAGAGTTATAGGGTATAGTGATGCTAGTTCCAGACTGATAGGGATAATTTCTGCTCTCAGTCGGGCTGGGTCTTTACCTTAAACGGAGGAACAATCACTTGGAAGAGTTCCAAGCAGGAGACAGTGGCTCATTCCACATGTGAATCAGAGTATATAGCAGCAAGTGAGGAAGCAAAGGAGGCTATATAGCTAAAGAACTTCATCGGAGACCTTGGAGTTATACCAACTATAAAAGAGCCGATGGAGATTTTCTGTGACAGTAATAGTGCGGTTGCCTTAGCCAAGGAACCAAGAGATCATGGGAGATCCAGACACATTAACATAAAATATCACTTCATCAGACATCGAATAGAAGAAGGAATCCTCGTAGCGAAGAGGGTATCATCGGATGAGAACCCAGCAGATCCCCTCACGAAGGGACTGAGTAGGGTTAAGCATCTTCAGCATGCTCGGAGCATAAGGCTGAAGGATGATATAAGTTTTAGTAGTTAGATAAATTATGAAATTTGTAAAGTGTAATTGACATTTGATGATGAATAAAAGGTGTTTTATTTATGAGTAAAGTGTTGCTATCTCTTGTCAATCGTTTACTTTATTTCTTTTTGCATGTTTTGACTTCCAGAATAATTATGTTTGGTATATCATATTATTCAAACCTCCACAGTCGGTCATATGTCGGAAGTAGGTATGAATCAAGACTGTCATGATTGGTTGCAGAGGTCTAAGGTGTTGGACATGGCTACAACAATCATGAGTGCTCATAAGTTCTGAGCATTGGACTCAACCCACGCTCACTGGAATCACTTCATGGAATTCTATCTCGAGTGATCGTGAGACGGTAATATCATATAAGTCTTCAAACCTAGAGATATGATTTGTTACTTACAAGTTGGTTATGCATTGATTGTACGAAAACGCATTGGTAACTCGATGTTATAAAACGTGCCTTTGCGTGTAATTCAATGAGTGGTAGAACAAACATATGAGTAGAAGTTTATCTGTTCCTTCTTGGATTAGAAGTTGATATCTTGGCCCCTCGATGATTATGTTTTGACATATGTACCGGGCTCGGTCAAACGAGGAATGATCAAGGAACATCGCGTATATGAGGATTTTCTACGAAGGATTGGCTCGAGAAATACTCCCATAGTATTTCATGGTTCGCTGCAGCGACGACTCGTTGTTTGAGATACTGGGTAAGTTTTAGGCATGCTGCATACCACAGTCACTCCCAAGCACATGTTGGCCGTGTCTCGAATGAATATAGTTGGCCAGGCTATATTGATCCTAGACACGACTACATAACTGCCCAAGTTTAACCGTAGTGTACAACACCCATTTACTTATGTTTTGTTCTACTTGTAGTTACGGATTTCGACGGTTCGGTATACTTGTATACTTTTGAAAATACTTGTA